TGCATTTTTTGATGAGATTGATAATTAGTGTTATTATATTAGTGTTGTTATATTAGTGTTATTATATTAGTGTTGTTATATTAGTGTTGTTATATTAGTGTTGTTATATTAGTGTTGTTATATTAGTGTTATTATACTAGTGTTGTTATATTAGTGTTGTTATATTAGTGTTATTATATTAGTTTTGTTATAGTAATGTTATTATATTAGTGTTGTTATATTAGTGTTATTATATTAGTGTTGTTGTATTAGTGTTATTATATTAGTGTTGTTATATTAGTGTTATTATATTAGTGTTGTTATATTAGTGTTATTATATTAGTATTGTTATTCTTGTAGGGAATCAATGATTATGCTTTTAATTGCTGTAACTATTTCTATGTTACCTTCATTGTTAGTGTTTGTACTTTGTTTGCTACGTTTGTTTTTCGGTTGCTGGTGTTCCTCTCTGGCTTGTCTTTGTTCGTTCAATTTTTCTTGTCGTGTGATCTCTAAGTACGTTATTTTTTGTGTTGTGTTTTCTCTAGCTACCTCTGTTGGTGGTGTTGGTAGTAGTGAAGTCTTTTGTTGGGTAGTATTGTTTGTTTTTCGTTTGTTGTTGTCGTATTTGTAGTGTTGATTCTTTGTTTTATGTCTTTATACTTCTGGCACCCTTTGTAATTGGTTGCATGTTCTTCGTTACAGTTGCAGCATTTAATCGGGGGCATTTAGATGATCCGTGGTTTTCTCCGCATCCAACACATAGAGTTGTAGATTTGCGAGCAAATGTTTGATAGTTGAAGCGTTGAATTACGACAGTTGCGGTGTTTTTGCCTCTTCAACTGTTTATTTTGGATACAATATTATTATTCACTTTTTGGATGTGTTTTTGTATGTTTTCCGTGATTTCTATGGTCACTTTTATTATATGTGTGTGTGTGTGTTGATTTTTGACGAGATTATTCTTTCTATTTTTGTGTGTTTTATTACGAAAAAACTACAGGTAAATTGTTTGTTTGGTTTTGAATTTCGTGCAAAACTACACGAGGTCTATCTGCGTTAGTCATCCCTAATTTAGTAGGGATAGATTAGAGAGAAGGTAGCTAGTCAACATCACTCATCGTTAAATCTCGGGCTACTCTTTTATCAACGAATAACGAGATTATAACGCCCCCATGGCTGAAAGGGCGAGCATGTTCGATGACAGTAATTCGAACCCGCGACCCATAGATTGCGAGTCGAGCGCCCTGGCCACCAGGCCAAGCCAAGCATGGCATTAAAATCGATAGATGCAGCGTTTATAGATTTCTACGCAATCGTACAGTTGAAACTGCCGTATTCCTTCATTACGTGGATTATTTAACTCCTGCAGGGACAAGGGGTATACTTTTGACATGACATCCTGACGATGGACCCTTCGCAAAGGAAACTACGCTTCAGGGCTGTTCTCATATACAGCATGTCTGAATGTGGCCACATGGTGAGATTCAAAAATCGTTCTCCTGTAACATATTCAATCTCTGTAATACTGACTTGCAGTACGTTTTATTCAATAAAAACTAGTAGCTAATTTAATGTTGATACACAGATCATACACCATCTGCTAGTATTAAACTGTTAGGAAGCCAGTTGATCAACAATACGCAACGCCAACTCTTGGTCTACTTTTATCTGATTGACAATATAATTTTTGTGGAAACGAGCCGCGAACCATGAGTTTTCTATTCACAGTCCAAAAACACGATTACCTCTAGTCCAGGCCAGACCATAACTTCAGATAGGTAGATATGATATACATATACGTGTAGAGTAAAGTAATTATTAGCTTAGTTTGTATCTCAATGGTAATTATATCAGAAATAGTCTTAGATAGCTAAAATATATATATCTTACAAAGTAGTTGCTAAGGTAACGTCAAACATTTGTATTCTAAGGACGAGAAAGTCGTGTGTTCACAATGATGATTGGTACATTTATTATATAGCAGTTGCTATGGGTAACGTTTGATAAGTCAGTGCAGAGTATATAATAAAGTTGTTCTAGCCTAACGTCTGCGTGAATACGTCGAGAGTGTACATATTGAAAGTAAGAACATAACGGTCCAGACTAAAAAAAAGAAAATTAATTCGTTAATTAGAATATGTTTAACTTGGAGTTGTTGATTAATTGACATTAATCGTAATACTTTACCCAGACGTATTTCTTAAGCTCCATCTCTTGACTGATTTGAGATCTAATTACAGCCGTGGCTGTTGAGGATTCATTCTTGTTTAGTCTATTTGTCTGAAGTTGTAATGTATATTAAGTCATTGAAAGAGACATTTATACTGACGCGCATTACATGTTTAATTAAGGATTTGTTTCTTGTTGTTAGCCACAAAGTAACACAATGAGCTTCTTTGAGATCTCCCCACTGCGGGTATCGAAACCGATTTTTATCATTATAAGCCCTCAGATTTACCACTGAGCTACCAGATATTAAATCAATGTAGGTAACAAAAATGATATTCAAGGAAAAACAAACATGGCCCGTTTCATAAAATACTAAGTTTGGTAAGGACATTCAAAACAAAATCGTATTGGTTTATTCTTTGATTTCTAGTAGTTTCCAAAATAATACGTAGTGCAATTAATACAGTTTACATGAAGTGCAACTTTACCACAATTAATACAGTTTATATGAAGTACAACTTTACCACAATTAATACAGTTTATATGAAGTACAACTTTACCACAATTAATACAGTTTATATGAAGTG